AGGTATCATGCCTTCCACTGTATTTGTATCAACTCTGTATTATCTGGTCGGTTCTGGGAATCTGCGCCATACTTATGACTGTGTTTCACAAGTATGCAACAGTTTGGTATCGGAGCAGACCAGTATTGGATGACTCACCATTAATTGATTGATTGATTGATTGATTATCTTTTCCTGCACTCTGTTATCATTAAATCGCAAGTTGCAATTTTTTTTCTTTTCGTGCATTTTCGTAGGATTAGGATGTTCAAATTTCGGTTTTGCGACTTCTTCTCAATCTTGCGCAATTAGGAATTACCAGTTACGGGTAAACCTAATTAGCTCTAATTAGGGTTAGTCCTAATCGAAAATTTAGGTTTTGCGACTTTTCCCGAATTACGCAGTTAGGAATTCCTAATTACGAGGTAAAACCTAATTAGCGCTAATTAGGGTTAATCCTAACCTAATCTAAACAACCTACCTAACCTATCGAGAGTAGGTGCCAGCCAGGCACCGCGCCAAGCAAGGCTGATCGGGCCTGAGCTAGGCCATATGCGAACTGCAACTTCACGGAACTTTCACTTTTTGCAAACTGCATCTTTTTTGCGATCAAAAGATTCAATCTTTCCAGCGAATTGTGTATCTTCCTGCTAACTATCATCTCTACTATATGAGTGCCCTCGTGATGATGCTAAAAACTTCCGACGAAATTTCGTGAAATTTTCAAAGTTATGTCTCAATGTTTAAACTTGCTTAAACTTATTCATTTCTTTTATTGATGCAAATCTAAAATATTTCGATTACATATTTAACCTTTGTGAAATAAACGTTGCAAAGTTAAATATTTCGTTAATCAGGTATTAAATCTTTTTGCCAAAATTAAATTTTACTAATTCCTATTTTTCGATTAAAACTTTATTTAATTTCCTGAAATTCGAAAATTCGTTCGGGGGGGGGGAATTTTTTTTTCCTTTGATTAGTACCAGACTTCGAGGTCAGGGGACAGAGGACCCAACCTTCTCTTCTCCTCTCGGTCCTACAAACTGCAGTCTCCGGACATGTCAGCTGAGGTGCCACATCAGCAGCGTGACAGGTCAGCACAGTGACACATCAGCAGAGGGACACGCAAGTGCCGTGTCAGCAGAGTGCCACTTCAGTACAGTGCCACGTCAGCAGAGTGCCACGTCAACAGCAACGTGCAGCCGGACACTAAATGCGCCGCAGCCTACGACTGGCAGAACGCGAGTCCAAGGCAGCCAAGCCCCAACCGGGACCCAAGGCATCGCGAATCCCGCGCAAGCGACGCACGACAAGAGTGCACCAACCAGCCCCAAGAGGCCGGTTCCACCTCCTCTCCCAGTTCAGCAGGCCGATGAACCGCTCCTAGCGTTCCTAGACCGTCTCCAGAAGTATTCCGAGACGACGGCCGCTGAACAACGCAAGTGGGAAGAAGAGGAAGCCGCCCGCCAGCAGGAGATTCAACGCCAGCTGGCAGAGGCAGAGGCAGCACGTCAGCAGGCCGCAACAGAAGCTACAGGAGCCGCACTGTTGCAACAGCAGCAGGTCGAGGCAGATCAGAACCAGGCTCGTTACCAAGCCACTATGGATCTGACTCGCGATGAAGCCACCTATGGGAGGCTACTTCGCTGACAGCATTTCCACAAAACCAAGGAACGGCAAGAGCCAACC